TGAACACGCACACCGTGTGAAATCAATACGAGTTTCCTACGTACGTATGCAAACTTACTGGACATTTGAATATCAACGGATAGAGTCATAACATACTTGTATGTAACTGAAATTGTGACGCCTATTAATATACCTCATGTCCGTCTAATTACCACATCCATATGATCATGCAAAGTGATGTGTGAAACAAAAATGAATGAATGATAACAGAAAAGGACAGCCACGACACAACATGCGAGCATGCACAAGCAGCGCCTACTGCGAAAGCGTATAGTACCTGGGAGGCAAGGATACCATGGCTGTGTTCCAAACTACAGTGGACACCTCCCCAGGTATCCTTTTACCCTCCGAAAAATCCGTTTACTTCTTAGTTCTGTGTGTATTATTGTACAATGCGCGGTGCTCGACTGCGACACGGCATCATCATCATCATTGTCATCTCGATGGCATGGTTTGACATTCCTCCACCTATAGTTTGGAAACACAGCCCGTCAGGGAGCGTGCTTTTAACTGGTTTTGGTGCACTAACACATTGCTACCGACCACAGATGACATTTCTATATATTTCCATTTTATGATAATTATATGCAGTCTCAAGTTTGTACAAGAAATGATCGTAATTGTTTTAAATAATTTCTGACAGAAGTATTATGACCGCAGCGAAATGATTATGAATTTAAAAAACATAGCACAACAAGCAATTCTTCCTGTGCCTATGTTGGTATGCCTTGTAGAAATGAGGCATACCAATTTACGTAATTTTTTACTTACACGGAAAAACATTGTCATGAAAACGACTAAAATCGTGATAGGGACAAACTGTGTGAAAATTCTACATTTACATTGTGATTATTATTACAATTGTGAAATTATTACCAATAAATTGTAAATTTTCTTAACTTCTCAATGTTGTATGAAAGTTTGATACAATTTATTCCAATCGCGACTCTAGGAGTAATTGCAGGAATTTTTATAACAGTGTTTTCTGTATTATTGCATAATTTTGTGTATTCTTTTTTTATTTCTTTGATATAAACAAAAAATGAGATCAAAATTTTTTCTAAAATAATTCCTACAGTTTTTGAACAAGATTTTAAGATGTATAGAGTTACCACACACAACCTAAAATGTTAAACTGTTTATAGAATTTTATCAGAAATCCATATGTTTAAAAATATACAGGGTGTTCCATTTAAAAATATAATATTTGGTGTCCCGTTTTTATTAATCGCCCTGTATGTTTCAAATTAATTTTGTCCTTTAGGTTTTTTGATTCTGTACAACTTTTATATAAACTTTCTTTCTATATTATGAATAACAAGGGAGTTATTTTACTTTCTCACACTAATGGCCCACCCTGTATATACTTATGTAAAGGGTGTTTCTGGAATAAATGCGTCCCTTCAAAGGAGTGATAGAGAACGTGAAAATAAACAATTTTTAAAAAAAATTATCAAGAATTATTACGCGAAACTTAGGCCGACCCTGCATCACCCCACTCAATCAACTGTTTACAATGCACTAAACAAAGTCCAATTCAGTGTATTGTGTTATTCCCAAAAGCAACAACCGAATCTCAGGACAGAAATGTTGTCTGTCGTTCAAAGATACGGTAGGGTCAACACAAGCTATGAAAGTCCTGTACCGAAAGATCACAGTATGCCTTTAATAGGGAAGGAAGAAATTTTACATATTGCCGATACGTTAAATGGGCGTTTTAAATGAAGTGGCGTTGTTACGGGAGCAGTTACTGTACTCATCTGGAACATGCGCAGATTTTGATTGCAAATGGTTTTCAACACGGTCTAAATGCTTCTGTGCACGTGTACGGGCCACAATACTTCGAACTCGTTGACGTTCCACGTGACTTCCACAATCAAGCAAATGGTAGGTCAGTATGTTTTGTGTTCTTTAGTTGTGCGTTGTTTTCTGATCAAGAACTAGCAGATATGGTGTTAATGTACGGAAAATGTCGGTACAATTTAAATGAGACTTGTCGTTTGTATGCGATTAGTTACCGCAACAGACGACAACCTAACAGTAGAACAGTGCAAAGGGCAGTTCAAAGGTTTCGGGAATGTCCACCTGACATGTGAAGGTTGTGAACGGAAAAGGCCGCAACATGTTTTTGACAACGAAGAAAACATCATAAACCTCATTGAGGAAGATCCGAGGCGCAGTATTCGCGACACTGGCACTTACCGGATTTGTTGGAAATGTCCAAAAGTTCCTTCATGCATGATGGTGCCCGCTCCCATGTTTCTCGTGCAGTTTATGAATTTTTACATACCAACTTTCCGGAAAGGTGAATAGGACGAAATGGCCCGGTTTGGGGGTGTATGAAACAAAATGTGTACCGAACGCCTATTGTCGATGCAACAGATTTTCAACAGCGTATTTTTGCTGCAGCTAATAGAATTCGACAAATGCCAGGAGTGTTTGCTCGTATTCGGATTAATTTTGATCGTCGTTTGGAAGCATGTTTATTAGTATATGGAAACAAGCATACCGTCTATTGATAAGTGATTAGTTTATTCGTTTAATTTTTGTGTTACTTTTAAACGAGATTTGAATAAATTTCTGCATTTTCGAAAAAAAATTTAAATCGTCAAAACCGTCATCAGCGCTTTCGAACTGCGGCGCGCGGCAACTTCGATATCAAGGTACAGCTGGCTGCCGCACCAGGAACGACTTTAAAATTGTTTAAACTTTCATGTGAATTTTTTTTTTCAATTTAAAACGTAATGCTTTAGAGCATCATTTTCGTGCCCCCTTATCACCTTTTTCAAGGAATACACTGATTTCAGAAACACCCTGCATTAGCCATTAGTATTATAGGAATATTCTTTACTTTATAAACATACCTACTCAAAGGTGTTAAGATTTGATTTTAGTCAGAAATAATCTAAATAGCGTTTACAATGAATTGGAATGAACGAATGAAAGATTGATCTGAATTGGCACAGGCAAGATAGGTATTAAATGATTATTAAAGTCTAAGTAATACAACTTAATGACTGTATATGCTTTTTGCTTTTCATAACGATCCAAATACAGATATCAGTAATTAATGACAAATTTGTTTTTCGCTTTACTTTTAAATGCTTGCTTATTTATTTATCAAACAAGGAAAATTAGTGATTTTTTTTATTAAACTACTGATGTACTAATGAACCAAATTAAAGAACATGTTCAGTTTTAACTACTGATTACTGATTATAGTATCTATATAATATATGAAAATAAGTGGAAATATTCTGTAGAATTATATTTTGCAAAACTTTTTCAGTTGTTTGTAATTATCATCTGTGGTCAGTTACTTTGAAATTATTGTTTCGACCAAATCACGTAATAAAAGTGTGGGTCGAGAAACAACAAACAAACAATGGCAAATAATAAAATTATGATATGAATTCTATACTATATAGAAAATGTTTAAATTATAATATATTAAATAAAAAAAATTGAATATTGAAATTAAATAAATTTTATTGAATTATAGTACAAAATAAATATAACAAAATATAGGACTGATTCATTATGGACAAACAAATGTAAACTGTAACGTACTTTTACAGGAAAAATTGTTTAGATTAGAAATTATATGGCTTATTATATTATACAATTTTTCGCTGTAACTATCTCGTTATCCTGACAGCTAAATAGGTAGGAAATCATAACTTCATAAACTTTCAGATTATTTCCTCTTCTACAATACTCTACATCTCTCGCATCTTTCTTCAATATAATGAATGGCATCTAATATTATACAAATCTTGTACTAGAGAATATACATTTTTGACTTCCTCCTTAAATTTTGTAAAAAAAATCTATCCTTCAATCGAAAGGGACCTTATTCAACAATTTTCGGATATCTACGGAAATATTGTCATATAGTCTTGAAAATATTAGGTCATGTTACCAGGCTATTATCCAGAAACACATCAATGTTTTCTCCGGCTCAAACATTTAGGATAGGCAGTGATTTACTTCTTGCTTCTGCCACGTTGAGATAGTTGTATGAGGTTTAGCGTTGTTGTCAAGAAAATTAATACATTTTGGATCCTTTGTTTTGTGTTTTACTATGATGAGTAGCCTTTCTAGGAGTTTGTAATAATATTGCAGTATCAATACCCGACATGTCTCGATTAGTTCACTGAATCAAAAAGAAGGAAGTTAATAATTCAAATCCTTAATGATAAACAGAGTTAAAAACTGTGCTGTTGTCGAGTGTCTGAAGAATCTATTGGCACTATACTACTTTACCACTGCTACCAAGAAAAAAATTTGTTCTTCATCTAACAACCTTAAAAATGGCCCTTTTTGTCTTTGTACTGTTCTATATTTTGTAATCAAGCTATCCATGATGGCCATTCTGAAATGTTCTTTCCAACAAAACTCCAGCAGCCTGATTATTGTCGTCCATGACGCTAATGATCAGCGTTGATGGCTTTGGTTTCAGCACAATTTCATCCCTTTCCTTCGACACCTCACAATTTTAGCCATAATTTAGTCTTATGTGATGATGCGTTGAGTAAAGAAATAGTGGTCTCTTCTCATTCTAATACTATTAAAATCATTTTGCGGAGATTTTAGAGAAAAAAATTAGTTATATATCTTATCAAACCTTCACAGCTCTATTGTAAGTTATATGTGTTTTAAAATAACTTATGTGATCTGCCCTCGGTAACAGAGAGGTTTTAATTTTCTAAATTATAAATAGATTTAGTTTCAAAAATGGAAAGTTTTCAAAATTATGGATTCCTCATAGTTACAGTTTACATATATTTAAGTGTTACTCTGTAGAAATAAACCTTAAAAAACGAAAATAACCAAAAAACTCTCAAGTAGTCGAAAGCAGGATAACTAGTGTATCGTAATTAGATGAGCATTTTCAAAAGTAGATAAGTAGTTGTTTGTAGGTAGTCGGTAATAGCAAGTGAAGTGTATGCTTATTCGAGTTACTTGTAAGGGTATTCCCAGAATAAACGTGGGGGTACCTAATAAGCAGCTCTCTGAGAGTGGCTTCATCGTCATCTTGTATTTCTTTCTTCGTCTCATCACGCGCGCTGGATCGCCTGCGCGGGGGTGTGTGCGCGCCCGGTCGACCGCGGGCGGTCAGCTTGAGCGTTTCCCTTGCTCCAGACTCGCCATCGGAGCCGGCGTCATGCTCCTCCACCTCGACTACCTCCGCTGAAACTGAAACAAGGATTTTAAATTCAGACATCACAAATTGTCTATACAGTATACGATATATAATAATAATAATAATAATAATAAATATACAGGGTTATAAATGACCTCGTCCCACGTGACCAGATTTGTTTTGGCGCTAAATAAATTTGATTTTCTTACGTTGGTGTTTCAGAAATTACCAAGGAAAAATCACCGACTAGGACCCTAGATGAAATGTCAATCCAGAGCCGTTCATAATTTTTCGTGTTTTTTTTACCTATTATTTGTACAATTTAGCAGTGTTTGCCAGTATTTCTGTGCTTTTCTACAAATCTTTGTCTGTTAAGTTGAAAAAAATAATTGGTGGTGACGCTTTTTCTGTAAGTTAAACGAATATTTGAGGTTATGCTTCGTATGTTGATTCTTATTTATTGTAGATTTGCGTAAAAATGCCGTTTACACAGGAACAAGACGTATCTATTTTGATAGCATACATTAAGCCTTATTAAAAAATATTAGGAAAAACATTGCATTTGCAAGGGCAAATCGACAGACATTTTAACAGAAAATGTTTCTGAAGAAACCCGTTTTGCAGTTATCTACTCAAACTTAATATAGTTTCAATTATGTAAATTTTTTAACCTAAAGCTAAAAAATAGTTTATTAAATAACTTTTTTAATATTACTATTTCTTTAGAATGTATTTTTTATCAACGTAGAATTATAGAACATGGGCTGTAGAAAATCCGTATAATTTTATTGAAACATCGCTACTTCCTCAGAAGATAGGTATCTGGGTAGCAGTTTCAAGAAGATGGATAGTAGGTCCAATTTTTTTCCGAAAAGTAATAAATGGAGAACGATATCATAACATTTTACAACAAGCCTTACAGTCAACGTATGACGATGAACTGCAGCATGGGTATTTTCAATAAGATGGAGCTACAGGAGATACTCCAGCAGAGACTATAAGATATCTTCACGAATTTCATGGTGATAGACTAGAAAGGTAGGCAAGTCCGCTGACGCTGACTTGACCTTTCTCTCGGGCCTTCGGCCCTCGGGCCGCGCTGCGGTGTTTTCCTGCCGGTTAGTAGATATAACATTTTTTGTAACACTCTGTGCTTTATTTTTTAAACACCCTGTATTTAAACGTTTGATGAGAACGTTTTTCAAAAAAGAGTAGGTTCCGCTCGAGAAAAGAATAAGAAAAGTTTCGCCTTGTCCATAACTCTGAAGTGGATCATTTTGTGGAACATCTAGTATATACTTCCAAAAAGGGTACCTGGTTAGTAAATATAAAATTTTTCATCCAAAGACTACGTAGGTAAGGCAGAAATGGTAAAAAAATAAGTTTCGCCCTGTTCGAAATTTTTATTTGGACCAGGTTTGTGGAACAACCAGTATAAATATTCAAAAAGACATCTGGTTAATAAATATACAAATTTTTATTAAAAGACTGTAGTAAATAAAGACAAAGTTAAAAGTGAAAAGAAAAAAATTGCCCGGTATTCAGACCTGGGTCAATTATGTGGAACATCTAGTATATGGATTTTTAAAAAAGCGACTTTTCTTTAAAAGATTTAAAGAAAAAATTAATAAAATGAATAAGGAAAAATCTAGTTCACCTGTGTAAGTTTTATGAACCATCCTGTACATAAATTGCAAGTTTCATGAAAATGGATAGTAGACCGATTTTTTTCCGAAAAGTAATAAATGGAGAACGATATCATAACATTTCACAACAAGCCTTACAGTTAATGTATGACGATGAACTGCAGCATGGGTATTTTCAATAAGATGGAGCCATAGGAGATACTGCAGCAGAGACTATAAGGTATCTTCACGAATTTCATGGTGATAGATTGATTACTAGGAGTTTGTGGCCTGCTTGAAGTCCTGATCCCGCACCTTTATATTTTTATCTGTTTGGCCGTATCAAAAATAATATATTTAAAAATCATCTCCACACAGCTGCTGGAAGCAGCAATTGAAGATAAAATAAACATTATAACATCAAATGAACTTGAATGCATTTTTGAGTGCATAAAACGAAGAGTACATTTTTGTTTAGAAAACGAAAGTGGTAATTTTGAACATCTATTATAAATTTGATTAATAAAGTTTTGTTAGCTGAGTAAAAAACTTTGTGTTTATGTTAGCATGGTATGGTAAATTAGTGAACCCATAATTTATATTTAAATATTGGAAAAGAAATTAATAAAACACTGAAACATTTTGTATTTTAACATTATTTTTATTGGAAAAAAGTGGACTACAAAAGAGCCTATATTTAAAAGGACAACCTTCTTCAATTAAAAAATACTTTTTCAATATAGAATGGGATAAAAATTCAAAATATCTTAGAGGAAGTATCATTATTTTGTAAGGAAAAACGTAAAAAATGATTTTTTTTTCTATTGAAAAAAGAAACACAAGTTCAATATTTGTAAAGAAATGTAATATGTACTCTACCGGATTATGATCTGTCTTTAGGGAATTCTGTGTTAGTCATTGACTCCATTGTAAGTTTGATTGCTTAACAGTGTTTATTTTTCTCAAATTGGCTACAAATATGTTATAGAAAAATTGAATGAGCATCGCATAGCAAGGAAAATATGTTATTAACAATTTACGTCGCAAAAAATCCTTTTTTGTCTGTTTTTCTTCAATATCTCGATTGAATCGAACGGTGGGAAAAAATGTAAGAGATCATTTTTGTTTTAAATATTTTTTTTACAAGATAATGTCATCGGAACCACTTATAAATTTTTTTTAATATTAATTAATTTTTAGAGAAGTGACAACAATTTTAAGACAAATATAGATGTTTGCTAATTTTTGTTAATTAAAAAATTACCTTTACATTTAAAAAAATTCTAGCCATGCTATCTTGTAGAAAATTTTCTTTAAAACAAAATAAAATACCATTTTTTTGCGACGTAAATTGTTAATAACATTTTTTTTTCACTATGCGATGTTCGTGCATTTTAATGTGTTGTGCTGTGACATATTTGTAGTAAGTACCACAAAAAAGTTGCTTGTAATGATTTTTCTTTATATTGTTTTCCTGAGAAATTATTCAAATTGCACTTCTGATGCTTAGGTCTCTTTTCGTGATCAACAACGATATGTGTCTGTTCATCAGAAAGTAGAGATTTCAACGAAGAAAAAGCCCACCGACGTTTTTAAAAAAGCAGATAATTTGACGTGAGAATTTTCGATTGAAAATTAGGGTGCTTTTTCGATATTAAGTAAAAATAAGGTGAAAAAATAAATATTTCAAATCAAAAAAATTACAGCGTGTTTGGGACATAAATAGGTAAGTTTTCACCAAATTTCGTGAACAAAAAAATTTGTTTGTAAAAGATAAAAATAAAAAACCAAAAACTTGGTTTTTTGAATTTTTCACATAAATTTTGAGGTTATGTGAAAAAAGTGTAAATACAAAAGTTGTAGATCTTTTTATTACCTACAACTTTGTCATTCAACTTTTTCCCAAAAGACTTGTAGTTTTTCTGGAAATCAAGGGAAACCGTTTTTTACCCTTAAAAACTCACCCCCTTCCCCTTCCCGACCTCAGATCGCCCGTAAATTATTTTTCTTTTCATTTCTGTTATATTCTCTTCCTTTTCCAATGGGTTTCATCCTACTATAATTTTTTTTCACTTTTTACAATTTTTGAAGGCTTAAGCACTGGTCTGGTAGTATTAAAAAATATCAAGAGAAAAAACGTTTAGACTTAAATTGTTTATCCATTAAGCCATCAAGTATGGAATCTAAAATAACACAGCGTCAAACAAAGGGCCACTGTCCCTTCATTACCCTCATACCGTAAATGGATTTTATTAACATTCATTTCAAAACATGGTTATATATTTGAAAAGAATGTCTTCAGTTTATGAGAAATTTGTATTTTTACTTTTTTTATTTCATCATTAAATGGCTATAACTCGCAAGGGGCGCATTTTGATATCTAGGTAAATCACCCATAGATACAATGTTTTTATAAACAATTATGTCGTCAGGTGACAGAAACAAACAAAACCATTATACGAAGAGATAATAGGACTTGTCTCTTTTTCTAAAGTGATATACAAGGTGTCCCAAAAGTGACGCCCGTCCTTCTGGGATTTGATTAAGTAGACAAAAACGAATTGAAAATTAATAATGCAAAATTTTCTGATTGTTTTTCTTTGTTGGATTATTCAAAAAACTAAAAAAGTGAAAATCCATTTTTTTTTTTCTCAAAACTGACGTCTGTGCTTAGGAGGACCAAGACAAATAATTTATATCCAATAGTAGGTAAGTATAGTTTCCGATTGTCGGTTGTACCTAGGTGTAAAGAATTATTTTTATGTGAAAATAATAAAGGAAAACAATTTGATAATGAAACTATTTTATAAATGGATAAACTAAAACCATAATGTGCTTAAATAATAGAAATTGTTTTTGCAAAAGGTGTTCAAATAAGTTGACTTCTACTTCAAAACAAAGATTAGCACGATTAAATATTGAAGCATGAAGCCTTTGTGGCATTGGTGTATTAACGCGACAGCAGCGTGTATACGGGCTACTACATTTCCTGGATTTACAACAGGTTCGCTGTGAATTTTTTCTTTTAAATAATCCCAAAAGAAAAATCTAGAGGATTCAGATCTAGTGATCTAGGAGGCCATGCTATGGGTCCACCTCTTCCAATCCATCTGTCTGAAAAGTTTTGATTCAGTTAATTTCATACTCGTAAACCATAATGTGATGGAGCTCCATCTCGTTGAAACCAATAATTTAATCCAACTGCTAACGGAACGTCATCCAGCAATGGCAATGGTAAGTTTTCATTTAAAAACATACATAACTCGAAGAAAAACAGACGGAAAATTTTCCATTCTTGATTTTCGATTGATTTTTGTCCCCTTAATCAAAACCCAGAAGGACGGCGTCACTTTTGGGACACCCTGTATACATACAGGTTTCAGATTTTTTATGCGTATTATGCCTCAGTTGTTATAGAAGCTGATGCA